CCTGATCATTACTCTTATCACCCAGCCAAAGAGAGAGACACAGAGGGAGAAGTAAAAGAAATGTAAGAGAAGCAGGTACAAAAGCCAGTGGATGTAAGATTAGAAGTTTTGTAAGAGTTTACTTTAAAGGCCCAGACACACCAGACAGACTCTCTGCCCTTGGTTAATGTTGGACCATCAGTAAACTTCTGTTGTCCTGGTCTTTGCTGTGGGTCTCGTACCATTGGCGCTCATCTACCCCCATCGGCTTTTTTTCAGCCAATTCAGCATGTCAAATCAGTGGTGGAGACAGCGGAGTCTGTTGGTGAATGAAATCATTCTGATTAGCAGTTTAGCCTCTGGGCGAGAACAGAGAAAAGGAAGCGAGGAAAGTAAACAAAGAGCTAAAGTAAAGAGGGAGTTAGACCAAAACAAGCTTGTTACATAAGGTAAGATTATTTTTCTTTAGCCATCAAGTTCTTTAGCAGAGACATTTCCTGATGGTTTGTGCTACTGTTCACTGGCACACAGTACATATGTTTTGTTCTTTCAGTATTAGATTGCGTTGTTAATGTGCTAACTGCCTGACTAGCAACATGATGGTTTTCCAGTTTCCCTTTTTGAATGACGATTACAGACTGCTGCCATCTGCTGATGTGAAGAGTTATTTCTTCACACACAGGTGCAGAACGTACATGCTGGTTTTACATCTGCAACAGTCTTTGTAGTGTGTTCATTTTTGGCAAAGACACAGGCAACATGAAGCAAGGCAAAAGTCAATTTTTGTCACCACTAGCTCTTTAATGTTGGTTTGGTGTGTCTGGGCCTTAGGGGCATGCCATTGTATACAACACTGATTAAAACAATACATTCTGGAAACACGAGCCTTCAAGATTGTTGCAGATTTCATGTCTTGCATGTAAGAGGCTAATGAATGAACACTAGGGGTGGGGGAAAAAGATTACTACAGCACAGTATGACTATATGTTTGTGTGTCAATATCGAATCGTCACACAGTGCTGAGTATCGATTTTTTTTATTATACATATTATTAATATTACAAATACAAATTAAACGTTAGATAGCACTTTATTAATATAATCAGTTGCTTTTTCAGTCCACTACATTCATTTTCATAAGATAATACAGATGCTGGCAAAGTTTGCATTTGGGGACATTATTTGCAGTTGAAAACAGGTAATAAACCGCAATATATCACAATATTCAGCATATCCCAACATGTTTAAAGCCTTTACAATATTGTATCGTGACTAAAATATCGTGATAATATAGTATCATGGAGTCTCAGGTGATTTCCACCCCTAATGAACAATGTACAGAGTAGCCTACGAAGAGAAAGCAAAGTTGGGAAATACATCTAAAACATCCAAAAGGGTGATTCAACAATAGTGTTAGGATGATAATAAGTATTTGTTATTATATACTTAAGCTATAATACATTATTTCTGTTTAAATGTGACAGTTTGTTAATTTGCATTGGATAAAGTTAATTTCTAATGTGGGCTCTTAATGAGTGTGTAAGAGCTTGAATATTTTGACTGAATCAGCATAACCCCTGAACTTCTACATTAGGGCTGGACAATATATCAACATGATATTAATATCATAATATGAGACTAGATATCATCCTATACTTTGGATATTATAATATGGCATAAGTGTTGTCTTTTCCTGGTTTCAAAGGCTGCATTACAGTAAAGTGATGTTATTTTCTGAACTTACCAGACTGTAGTAGTTGTTCTAGTTAGTAAGGCTGCACGATTAAGGCCAAAATGATTATCACAATTATTTTGATAAATATTGAGATCATGATTATTTATAAATGTTATTCATTGACTTTAGGGGGGAAAACTTATTGTGCTTTCATATTAAAACAAAAAACACTGCCTACACTTCCATGTTGTGCTACATTCCAGCTGTATACATTTTTGCATCAAACTTATCCAGAGTAAAGGCGAACTAAAAATAAATGTCATTACAGAAGGCAAATGAAAACACTGCTTACTGGACACATCTCTTTAGCTAAATGGAATATGACTGCATTGGTTATTTCAGTCTATCTTTGAAAGTTGGATGGATATGTATCCGCTGCTGTAATTTTTTTTTACGATGGTCACAGCACGGTGACGCGCTGTACAGTGACACGCTGTGTGGAGCTTCACTAGATGTCTGAATTGACGGTGGACAAGGATGATAATTCAGTGAGGTAACGCTTACTATGATATTCTTCATGGCCTTCATGCATCCATCCTACTGCAGATTGTGGCTTTTTCTTTTTACCTCAGCAACCTAATTGGGTCACCCCTTGCCTTGAGAGCAGCTTTCACTGTCATATACATTCTGAACAGCACTTTGAAAGTGTCAGTATTGGGTCATTCTTCAGGAGGAAATTTCCACAGTTGTTTGAAGTGACCTAGAGAGAAATCTGCTACACATTCTGTCAAGGTTGTACCTATTTTTTTTAAGCGCTAAGTGCCAAAACCCTGCCAAAGTTTGTCCTTATATTAAAATCAGTAGAAATTCAAGACAGCTTAAATTAGCCTGGCCCCTAACCACTAAAACCCTTTAGGTAAGTTTCATTTTATCTCCACTGTCATGTTTGTAAATCTCTTTTTCTTGTTTTTTGTTGCTGTTGTTCTGATAAAAACATGAGCAACTGGAGGTCAATAACTACAATTCTGGGAAGCTCCTAGAACCATTTGTCATTATTTTTTAGATATTTTAAAACCGGATGAATAAATAATCGGAATCATTGATAAATTTATTAACAATGAAAATAATCATAGGAGCTCTAGGCTGCATCCTGATGACCATGTTGACTCTAGCCTTATTGCCAGAGATATCCCATGCTAATCTGTGGAAACAGGATGAAGAAACCAATGTAAACTATTGTACTCCAGGCACACTGGTTGTCAGAAACACCCACACGTTTCAAATCTTGCTTAAAACTCCATCAGTACCAAAATCTATCAAAGCGAGACAGCAAAAACCAGACATGAAAAAATAAATGACATGAGACTGAACTGTGCTGCTTACAATATGCCAAACAGGGTGTGCCTACGTGCCTGGACCAGTGTTTACAGTATCAACAGGTTCCTGCTTTGTCCTTTCAGTAAGGACATCTGCACTACTGTTACAAACACTTTTACAGACACACTTCCAATAAAGACCAGATCTCTGATGCTGACTGAGAAGAAAAATATAAAACTGCTTGTAGCAAAACATGCTGATATATTTATCTGCTTCTCCTCAAGTTTTGTATTACGAAAACCCAACTCTGCTTTCTTCTTTGTAAGGGTGCATTTCATGGTAAGTCAATACAAGACAGAGGGCTCAACTACTGTTCCCTTTTTGTGGCTGTGGCAGCAATCATAAGGTCCATCGTTTTGTTTGCAAAACAGATGACAATGTAAGTGTTATCATTTGCCATTGTGAACGTAGTCGACCCTAATAGGATAAATTCCGCGAGCTGTTGTTCACAAACAGTCATTGGAGGATCAAAGTGCTAGAGTTAACCCTTTTACTGCAGTCTTATCTGAAACTGGGCTGCAGTCGGTAACTTTGAGCTATGTCCTTTATGACTAAGGTGTGAACATGTAAGTATAGTAATGAGCATAGAGTAATTATTATTATAGTAATAACAGTAATAGTTATTCTTGCACTATTTTTACATTTCAATTCAATGATCGTGCATTTGTTCTACCAAAATTAGTACAGCTATTACAGTGACAGCTCTTTGTAGTAGTCCTGGTGGCTAGACTATAATTTCACTACTGTGTCTGTTTTTATTCTTATGTTTTAATTCATTATTTCTGTGTGCATCAGTGTTTTGTATGTGACGAATAAGCTAATGTATGCCCAAATTTCCCTTGTAATTAATAATCTATCTATCTATCTATCTATCTATCTATCTATCTAGTATACAAACTGTAAATCAGGCACGTCCAAAGTCCAGCCTGGGGGTTAATCGTGGCCCATGGACTGATCTTTAACGGCCCTCGGCTTGACTAAACAAATATACTATATGTTGCTCCTGACCAGTAAGCAAGTAAGCAAACAACAAGCAAGATCACCTTACATTTATTGCCTTCACCTCACAATGGCAGGATTATCAAACAGTTCGGAGACATGCATCAAGTAGGAACTAAGCAGGCGGACCTCATGTGTTTTCATAAACACAGTAATCAAGCAAATAAACGATTACCTAACAGCAGACCTTTCCTGCTAGGTAGCAGACATGGCCACAGCAAAGAAGCGTAAAGCCGACAGTGAGGATCACCACATTTAGGAACAGTGGAAAGTTGAATTAACCTTCACTGAAAGATGAAACAGTTGCCTTTGTCCAATTTGTTTGTGAGGTTGGTTTTTTTTTTGTTTTTTTTAAACAGCCCATCTGATGCAAGAAGCAGATGGTCCCCAGGTATTTTCCACATGATCTAATCTGGCCCCCAATTCAAAATAGTCTGGACTCCCCTGCTATAGAAGTAGCTGAAGTAAACAAATAAAATATGTTCAGACTGGAAGACAAAAAAAGACTTAAACCTCACAATCTTTTTAAAGTACTTATGAGCTATACCCAAACACACACAAACACAGTGCTAAACACACATGACAGGTTAACATCAAGGGTGAGTAAGGGTAACTAGCTACTATGCATTTTGTAACAGACATTGATGAAGAGTTTAGTGAAGTTTTCCTCAGAAAAGCTGCTGTCGAATAACAGTTCAATGTTCAAGAAAATAAGTCATTACGTGATCCGCATGATAATAACTATTACAGCACCATAGGTCGCTATAAGTGAAGAGCCTCGTCACAGCACCTGTGGACTGTCTCACTGTTCAACTTTGAACTGTCAAACCTCTCTGTGCTCAGACATGCTAACCTGTTAGCCACTTAGCTCCACTATCAGCTCCCTGAGACGGTGACAACGCACGTGCAGCAGCAGGACCGACCCGAGGAGGGGTAAACCGCATGCTCGGTAACGTAAACTGTAACAGTACCTTGAGTTTGTCCAGAAGTATGTGCTTTGAGGTTGCTGTCCTCAGTCCTCTTGCTGCAGCCTGAGATGCCATGGATGCCGCCATGTTGACACGGAAGACCAAAGAGAGATGACGTCAGGAGCATGTGCGAGTTAACACAGAGCCGTTCATAGGTCAACAGGCAGATATGGGCGGTGCTTGAAGGAAAGGCACGCACATGCACCGGTACCAAAGTTCAGTGAGCATGTTTAAGGTTACGTATGTGTACACAGTTAAAGGGCAACTTCACCAATTTTCAGAATTCATAGAGTTTATTCCTATGGCCTAAGACAGTCCAAAAATATTAGTAAATATGAACAACTCAAATTTGTGATGTCCTCGGGCAGGGTTGTCCACACATTTTTGAATGGGGGCCAGATTATACAATGTAAAAATACCTTATGGGCAGCTGCTTAAAAACAAACACACAAGCAAATTAGACAAACAAAACTGTTTTGACTTTCTGTGAAAATGTATTGGACTTTCCACAAATCCTGAAAGCTACTGTCCTCACTGTCAAGTTCACGCTTCTTTGCTGTGGCCATGTCTGCTACCTAACAGGAAAGGTCTGCTGTTAGGTAACTGTTTGCTTGTTTATTGTGTTTATGAAAATGATTACTAATTAGTTTCACCTGCATAGTTCCTACTTGATGCATGTCTACAAACTGTATTATAGTCCTACCACTCATGCTTGATTAACCAATGTTGTGTGGCAAGCCATGTATGATATATTTTGACACAATTAGCCCCATGGCCAGACATTGGAAATGCCTGTCCTCGGGTATAAAGTCTGGAGCTGCTCCATAGACAATGAATTGGGAAAGGCGTTATAGATGACACTGAGAGCACACAGGTATGTTCTGAGTAAAGACCAAATCACAGTGTTTATTTACAATAACTTACTGGTAGAAAATCCTTGCGTCATGTGCATGAAATTTGGGCATACACTCAGTGCATTTACATGAAATTAAAGAAAATCAATTTATTGTGTTAGTCCAACTAAAACCAGACTTTTAAAATACATGTAAACATGTTACTCTGACTGAAATCATACTGAATTGAATTTCTCAGTGTTGGACTAACACACCCAGGTAATGCGATTGGGAGTCGAATTATTCCTACATGTTCAAACCCAGGGTGGGGGAGCCCTTTTGTGCAGAGTTTGCATGTTCTCCCTGTGTCAGCGTGGGTTTTGTTTGGGTACTCTGGCTTCCTCCCACAGTCCAAAGACATGTAGGTTAATTGGTGACTCTAAATTTGCCGTAGCTGTGAATGTGAGCATGAATGGTTGTCTGGCTCTAGAGTCTGGTGACCTGTCCAGGGTGTACCCCAACTCTCACCCAATGGCAGCAGGGATAACCCCCCCACCCCACCCCGTGACTCTCAACAGGATAATTGGTTACAGAAAATGAATGAATGAATGAATGAATGAATGAATGAATGAGTGTGTACAGTCAATCAGACCCAAACTGGCCAAGGTCTTCGGCGCATGTGCCACAGTGTCCGCCCCAGGCTTTGACCCGGAAGTCAAAAGCATTAAGTGTGTAACAGAAGAAGAAGCTGGTAACAACATGGCGAAATCAATATCCAGAGCCATGCATTTTTGGATGGACAAAATGTACAGAGCTGTACAGTTGTCCACAATAGTACCTGTTTGCATCTAGCTAACCATAGCTAATTTGTTGTCAGTTGGTTGCTCTGCGACGTACAGTAATGGGTCAGCTGGAAAAAGGTCCAATACTAACCAGCTTCAAGGGGGCACATCGCAACCTATTGTAATGGAGTCGGACATACTTCGGTCATACTTCCCCTCCCATGTTTGTATATTGGGACAAGGACAGTCATTTAATTACATGGTATAGTCAAGCTATAACCATAGCTCGACTTAAATGTGTATGTAAATGTGCTGACTGCCTCAATTAGTTTTTAGCCACCTGAAAAAGGCCTACCAAAAAACCACCACCACTTTACCTTGCTCTCAGACAGCTTTTTCTGACAGGGAATTGGAGCTGTAATATCAAAGCCACCAGACTCTACTAACAAAAAGAGTAATTTAACCTTAGCAGAACAGTGGGAGTTGCTGTCTGTCAGTTAGTGTGTGAGGTAAAGCACAGCAAATATCAAAATACAGCATATTCTCCCCTTTTTTTTTTTCTTTTTTTTTTTTTTTTTGTTTAGGTGGCTTAGATACATTTGCTGCAGCCCTGTCCACAGCAGTACATTGTTTAGCTTCTGTGCCAGAAGATTTGGTTTATCAAAGATGATAGCAAAGCAAAACAGTATAAAATAAGCACAGCAGAAACAAGAGATAAGTCAAACCAGTGTTAATCATTAAAGTTAGAACAGAAAATGACAACAGATATTAACAAGTTTGCCAATTTTACATATCTCTGTAATTGAAATCAAGTGTTGTCTGCCCAGAAGTAATTGTTTTTAGTGCAATGTTAAAGTGATTCAGTCTATATGGAAACATTTTCTGTTTCAGAACTGAGAACACTAAAATAGAATAAAGCTCATTTGGGTATAGAAGAGAAAACAAACATTTTGTGGGTCCATATAATCAGGCTCATATTCACTGTCTACAGAGCAGCTCCAGACTGTGTGCTCTATGACATCACAAGTTTGAGACTCTCTGCTCTGGTTTCTGGCTTTGAGAGAGAGCAACTCATGTCCACAAATATTGACTGAACTTCCCCAGGCCATGGAAGTAAACTGGGATTCTTAATTTAGGCAAAGTTTTAAATTCAAATTAAGAAAAAATATTGTCTAAAATCCAGGCTGCAATACAATGACAAAAACCCACAAAAATGCTTCTCAAATCTGAAAATGTTATCACAATATGGTCAACATCTGCATTTCTGTTCGCAACTACAAAGTTCATATCAGTCTTTGAATGTAACATTTTTATTTGTTCATATTTAATGAGAAACAGCATTTTAATTTTCACCCAATTTTTTTTTAAAAAAGCGTCCTCTCCTATAGGTTGTGCAGTAGGACATCAAGGTCATGTATGTTTTATGGATCTGAGGCAAAGAAAAAAGTAAAAAAAATTCTGAATGTTTTAGACCAAATGCACAAATTTAAAATGAAGGAATGTTATATTGTACACAATAAATATATTCCTGGCATTGTGGAGAAGACTTTTCAAACAGGGTGATGTATGTTAAATTAATAAAGAAAATGTCTGCGTGTGCGCAAGATGACATTTTGCTTATAGAAAATGACATTTGAATAACAAACAACATTGTCTTCCTCCAGGAACAGTCTCCTGACAATGGCTACAATAGAAATGTCTATTTTCAGCTGAAGGTCAAAAATAAAAAGACAGAAAAAAAATGAAAAGTGCTCTGAAGTTTGGAGTCAGAGGACAAACTGAATTACATCAAATAAAAGATTTATAATTGAAGTGAATTACAGAATTATCATAGAATCATAAATGGTGCATAATTTGCCGACTGAGATGAAGTGGTGAATATATAATATCTTTGTATACTTTGGTTAGGTTTGTTTACATTCATGTCAGGATGTGTTTATATTTGAATACCAATGTTCTTTTGGGATTTTGTATTAATAGGTTTTCTGCATATGTTTAAACATTCATAAAACCAAAATGTTTATTTTTTACCTAAGTAGATGTGCTGTTAGACGTTTGTGGATATACATGTAATAACTTTGATTTGTTGCAGATGAAAATTTCTGAATAAATTCATGAGGGATGGGTAAAGTTTTGTGTACATTATGCACACATTTATATTCATTTGTTTAGATTTATGGCAAAATACTAAACACTGAAATTATTCAGCAGTACTGAAAAATCTGACGTTCACGCAGTCCAGTGGAAGTTTCTGATTTTATACGTCTACAATTCAAGCTGTACTTTAAGGAAATGAACAATATGCCGTTGTGCTGTTAGCTGTACGTGGGTATAGGAATTTTGGTGTTCTGCTGATTTCAATCCGGAGAGACAAAAGTATGAAGTAAAGATAATATTTAATACGGAATATGAGTGTACAGATTAACAGAAGATTTGTGCTGATTAAGATTTAACAGAAGACTTTGCACTTGGAAACAAGAGGGAGATATTTTGTGATCAAGGGACATCTGAGTGGCAGAAAGATAAATCCCCCATGGAGTCCAGACACTGGTGGTGGTGGTGGTGGCTGATGAGTCTGAGGCTGCTGAGGCATATGTGACTGATGAATCCATAAAGACTACGTAATGATGGGGAGGTGGAGGGTGCACATGACAGCAGTAAGAAAGAAGTACGGCAGAGGGAGAACCATATTTAAAATGAGGAGCAGCAAGATGATAGGCTGACAGAGAAAGTGTGTCACTATGCTATTGGTTGATTGTGAATCAGGTGATGACTCAGTTGACCTACCTAGACAATAACACCTTCAGATAGTGAGTGAGCATGCGTGCAAGGAGTGAATGACAGGGTGAGAAAGATTGTCTTCCTGACTGAACATTCGCTAGAGCTTCATTAGCATGTCTAAATAACCCTACGTGAAACAAAACAATAGTTATTAATTTATTATTTTAACAACTGATTCCTTCATTTAAAGGTACATCATGCAGGACTGCCAGTTACTGCTTGTTAACATGCTCACCAGCAAAAGCCAAAGTGAAGCCACACCAGATTCACTCTTGTTTGGCTTTTTGCCTCACTGAATTTACCTTTTTTCAGCACTGTGTCTCTTGGATGCCTGCTGCTCACAGTCTGCCACCTGGTTGCTACCTTTTTATAAAGCCCCGACCTCACCTGAGCACTGTGGGGGTACACACCCATTAACGTCCTGAACTCAGAGGATAAGAAGAAAATAAGAAAATACAGGCAAGGGGCAGAGTCCGTGCAGAAAAATACACTAGCACTCACCAGTGGGTCATAAGAGAGGATTGAGAGGGATAATGAGTCTATACATTGTTTCTACAAAAATCAGTCTGTGAATTCTGCACTGATTGAAAAATGTGTTTGTTTCTTATCAAGGTGTTTCTAAATTGGTAAAATCAACCCTTTAAGTTGTTTTAATAGCCATTTAACTCTGTAAATTAGTCACAATACATCTTTATATTTGTCAGGAGGATAG